GATGTCAACACCATAGCCGACCTCTCTTCATGCACCAGGTACGTATCTCGTCACCCTCATCAGACCTTGAGAACCCACACTCACCTCCTTCCCTGAAGACCACCAGATCAGCCTATTACCCCCCTGGGGCCCAACATCCCGGTTATGGCTGTCTGTGCCCCACTGCCCTGCAGCTCCCCACTTCACCTCTACGTGCCCCGCCAGCGCACAACATCCAACGCAGCAGCGTGACCGCATTTCCTGCACTGGCCTGAATACCTCGCATGGGCTGCCTCGTATATGGAAGTGGCAGCCTCCTGGATGCTGTGTGGCCTGGCTGGAAGCTTCCAGTAGTTTCCGGTTGGGCCTCAGTCCCTGCACCCAGGCCACCAGGCTACAGTTGAGGGCCTGGGCCCCTTTACAGTTGGGCACGGCCTGAGTCTCCGGACTTGGGCTGTTTGCTGCATCTGTGCAGGGCTCCCATGTAGGTGCGTCGACAGTACTGCTTTTGCTTAGGCCTATGGCCTGCTTCTCAATGTATCGGCCCTGCTTTGTGTGTATGTGCCCAGGCGCAACTGTCTAGGCCTGGGCCAACTGTACGACGCAGCTTAGTGAGGCTCACGCGTCGACTCAACCAACTGCAGTGCTGCAAGAGCCTGAATACCCACATATGGAAGTGTCAAATTTTTGGCCTCTGACGAATATTCAGGCACGCCTTCACTTAGGGCGGGCACTCAGCTTGCTGGGGGCCTTTGCCCAAAACATGTGATGTCTGATAGGGCCCTGTGAGGGCTCATTCCTCGCATTCCATCCCCCTTAGCTTCGAAAGTCCGCTGAGATGCTTCACGCTGGTTCCTTCCCCTTCAGTTTCTTCTCATGTTCGGCCACGATCTGAGGAGCTGTCTTAACAAGTTCCTCCATTGAAATCCATCGATCTTCCTTGGGATCAGTATGATGCCTCTGTACTCCCTTGCAGGTTTAGGAGGTCTACCCCTGCCAGTTGGCTTGGGAAAAGGCATGCCTCTGTACCTGAAATGTGGACTGTCGGGGATGTTTGTTCTCAGAAGCAATCATGGCTTCCTGAGATTTCTTAATGTGTTCGACAGTCTGCTGCAACAAGTTCTCATACTGGACACCAAATTCAATGGTTCCAGGAGTTGCAGCAATTCGGTTTTCAGGCAGGAGGAAGTCTAGAGCAGATCTAGGCTTCCATCCCAGATGTAGCTGATTAGGCCTGACGCCGGTGGTGCTATGTACAGCATTGTTATACAGACTGGCGATGAGAGGTAGTTTCTCATCCCAGTCATCCTGGGTGCGYTTGATGTAATGCCTCAGCAGATGCTGCACCACACGGTTCATTTGTTCAGCCTGCCCATTTGCTTCGGGATGATTCCCAGAAGTCATCTGAAGCTGGCTGCCCATCTGTTCAGCGGCCTTCTTCCACATCTCGCTGGTGAAACACACATCTCTATCACTAACGATTGTCTTTGACAGCCCAAAATCACGCACCCAGTTATCCATGAATAACTTAATGACGTGCTCAGTCCTGGCGGTCTCTGTCATGGCAATTCATCTAGCAAAGTTAGTAAACCTATCAACTGTGGCGAAGATGTGCCTCTTGCCATTCTTGCTGGTCACGAGAGTATTCATGGATAGAGGCTCGAGTAACCCAAGCGGAGCTCGAGTCCGCAGCTCGTCCCGTTGACAGACCTGACAGGTCTGTACGTACTTCTTTGCATTGTCCAGCATGTTAGGCCACCAGAAAATGCTGTACTAAATTAGCACTAGTCTTCTTGTAGCCAAAATGTCCAGTTGCGTCGTGGCACTCACCTAAAAATAAACTACGCAAAATCTCCCTAGACGGAACAACTAACCTCTTCAACCCTGCCTTTTCAAGAAAGAGTAACCCATCCACCATCACAAACTCGTCAGTGGTGGCCTTGTCTTTGGCCTGCAGTTTGTTGATGATGTCCATCGGATACGATCTTTCCTTGTAGGCTTCCTCCAAAGATCGAGTTACGTCCTCAGATAGACCAAACTCAGAAATCAGTGCACCTAGGTAATCTGCCCTTCTAGACAACGCATCTGCAACCTTGTTGTACTCTCCCTTCACATAATCTAGTTTGAAGTCATACCGATCTATGACTTCAATCCAGCGTTTGAGTGCATTGGAAAGAACCGGTTGCGTCTTGATCCACTTGAGGGTCTGGTGGTCAGTTCTCAAATAAAAGAACCTCCCTAACAGATAGTGCCTCCAGTGGATAAGTGCCTTGTACAGAGCATAGAGTTCCCTCTCGTAGGTGGACTTTGCCAACTTCTTTGACGGCATCTTTTTGCACATGTACTCGACCGGTCTCAACTTCTTCCCGTCCTGCTGAGCCAGCACTGCGCCAATGCTGTATTGGCTTGCGTCAATGGTTACAACAAATGGCCTTTGTGGGTCGGGTACCATGAGAACTTCATGGTGTGTGAGTGCATGCTTCAAACACTTGAAAGCTGCCTCACACTCATTGGTCCAATCCCACAGCTTATCAAGTTAAGTTAGATCAGTGAAGGGAGATGTGATCATGCTATAATTCTTAACGAAATTGCGGTAATACCCATACATTCCCAAGAATGATCAGACCTCAGTCACAAACTGGGGTCGTGGCCAGTCACGTATGCTAGCCACCTTTGCATCTTCGGGCCTAATCCCATCCGCGGATACTTCATAACCAAGTACAAGATCCGAGTGCGTCCGAACTCGAATTTCTCTCCATTTATCTTATACTTGTGCTGCCGAAGAAGTGACGTATGCTAGCCACCTTTGCATCTTCGGGCCTAATCCCATCCGCGGATACTTCATGACCAAGTACAAGATCCGAGTGCGTCCGAACTCACATTTCTCTGCATTTATCTTATACTTGTGCTGCCGAAGAAGTGAAAGTACTCTGTCTACATATTGAGCATGCTCCTCGACAATCTTACTAAAGATGAGTACGTCGTCGAGGTACACAATGACGAACTTATCTAAGTAATCGTGGAAGATCCTATTCATTGCGTTCTGGAATGTACCCGACGCATTGCAAAGGCCAAACGGCATCACCACAAACTCGTACAGACCATACCTGGTCTGGAATGCAGTTTTGTGCTGGTCCTCTGGTCTTATGGTAATTTGATGGTAGCCGGATTTCAAGTCTATCTTGGTGTAGTACCTACATCCCTACACCCTATCCAATAGGTTGGCGATGAGTGGTGGAGGCTCTGCATTCTTAACTGTGATGGCATTGAGGCCCCTATAATGAATGCACATCCTTTCTTTGGACCAAATAGAATGGGTGAGCCAAAGGGGGAGGTGCTGGGCCAAATCCAAACCTTCTCTGTGAGCTCTTTCAGTTGTCGTCGAAGCTCATCCAACTCGGTCGGAACCATCCTATAGATTCTCCCTTTAGGTGTCTTGCTACCTGGGATGATCTCTATGGCATGGACAACCTCCCCGTCTACGACTCCTGTAGGCTCCTCAAACAGCTCAAGGTACTTAGCGACGATGGTCTCTATCTTTTGGGTTGTTTTAACGACCTCCCTTTTTGCAGAGAGACGGACTAAGTACATACCTTCCTCTGCGTTTTGTTCATAATAATTATAGAACGCAGGTGCGCATAAGCACCCATAGGAGTTTATTAACCTACTGGCTTTATACTTGGCCAGTCCAACGATCCTCCCATTAGGCAACACCTGCTTTAACAGCTTGTCCAGTCAAACTGGGACTTGGCAACCTCGAGGTAGCACATGCCCAACAACATGTCGAAAGGCAAATCGTCGCTCATCAGGAATGATAGCTTACGACTTAACTCTCCCCCTCGGTAGGAGAAACGTCCTTCACGTCCTTCATGCGCTCTTTGTTGGCCAAAGTAGATGCTAACGGTCTACTGAACCTATGAAATTTCGCATGGAGCCAATATCGACAAAGGCACGGCACTTGCGGCCACCCACACCAACTTCCACAACGAAGTGATCCCCTCTATGACCTCTACTTAGTGCCACCCAGGACTCACGAGGGTCCCTTGCCGACCACTCACCTTGAAGGTCGTCTAAGGCCTCAGACACATCCAACGTACAAAGTATAGTTTGGTCCGGATGCGTCTCCGGGGTGACTAAGAAGTCAATAGCTTCGGCCAACTCTTGAAACGGGGAGGGTACAAGAGTAGAAATAGCTACAACTTCTACTGGCCCTAAGTGTTTCCCGAGCTGGAGCTTGTAGAGCCCCCATACTGAGAAGAAGGGAACCCACCTTTAGGAGGGATCTTCTGCAAGACCTTCGGATTCTTGCACTTAAACTATTGATGGCCATATTTGCCGCAGTTTATGGAAGCCCCACGCTGCCAACGCTCCCGCCACGCCTCTTGATCCAAACCAGCCCTAACCCAAGCAGCTATTTTGTTTGGGTTGGCGGCTTGACCTTGACTCCTTTGCTGACCGCCGTTGCCGCGACCACCTGCCTTAGTCTTAACTGCTGCGGCGAGGATGATACCCTCAGCACTATCCTCGCCGTCTAGCTTTGCACTCTCCACACAAGTTCAAAAACATCGCCGATTTTTGTTTGATTCTTTTCGGAATCAACCATCATCAGTCGACTACCTTTCTTCTTCCACTCTTGTGGAGCCTTCTTCTTTCTCTCGTCCGCAGAAGGGGTTTGAGCACCATTTCTTGCTGAAGGTCTCAAATGTGTGATACTCTAAACAAGCTTTGCTAGCCAATGAGTTCTCGACGTCTGTGGGAAGACACCTTAAGGACATGGTCAATAGGACGTGTGGATTGTACTCCACTCCTGGGACGACAGTAAGACTCTACGGTTGTGGTAAGCTCTCGCACCGACTTGTAATTTCTAGCGTCAAGCTTTAATAACCCATCAGTGGCAATATGTGCCTGCTGAGGGTTGTGCCAACGTGCTTCCACTAGATCATAAAGCTCTCTAGGGTGTGGATCTGCGCCCAATCAGCCATGTTCCTGTAGAACCCCTTTGAAGCCACCAATCCATTTAACCCGCGAGCTGATGAACCCTCTAAATAGGATGTGCAGCAGTTATCACTTCCTCCTCTACCAATGTCCTCTTTGCCCTCACCCACACTGGACCCGTTCTCAACCACATGTCGAGAGCCTCATCCTTCTTGTCTCATGAGAAGCTTAGAGGTGGTTTCAAGGGGGTCTTGGGGTACCAAGGTAATTGTTGTCCCGTTGGAGGAACATATTGCGGTTGTGGTGTAGCTCCAGCCGTTGGACCAAAAAATGAAGAAGAGGCTGCTGCTGACGTACCGCTTGGTGTTGATTCGGACTGAGCGACATAGGGGTCTGTCATCGCTGAGAATGGCAGCGATGACAAAACTGCTGGCCTGGCTCCTGGCCTTTGTATGGCGTTCAGGATCTGGTCCAAGGTGTCTTGGATTACATCCAGTTTGTTGTCCATATATGCGTGCACGAACAGGATGCTCGCCTTGACAACTTTCATTTTTTTTGTCCAGGTTCATCTAAACCCTCTAGTGCAGCTTTGTCTGCCTCTCTGCTCTCTAGTCTGATACTTCTATTTCTAATTTCTCTCTTTCACTAGCTTTTCTAAGTTCCTCCGCTAGCTTGATGTGGATCCTCTCTACTTGTTGGAGCACCATCTGCTCCCGGTTGCGTGGAGGCGACGAGCTGAACTACGAACGCGCCATCTGACTAGTGCCATCTCCTGACGTACAAGAGATGGACTTTGAACTAGTCGCGTTGAGCGGCATGCCCAAACTCAAACCAATGGAGTTAGTAGAAGTGGCTTAAGTCGTAGCCATTGCTGCCAACGCCCGTTCAACTGCTGTTGCTGCCCCTCTCGTAGTCTCTAGATTATGGGCCCTTGCTTTGGCCCCAAGTCTTCTCTCATCTCCTGGTAGTAGAACCTGAAACAGTACGGGTTTCCTACCGGTCTCCCGTCATAACTGCCTCCTATCGTCAGTTGTACCTTCACCACCCTTTCATCCACTCATGGGCTAGGCAGACGCTGTCTGCACTAATGTCCTCTCTGGGACCTACCGCAACATGTGTCTGACCGGTTATAAAAACAATTGAAATAAATTAATATCCAGCGAGTTACCTAGGCTACCGATCAAGCGGCATCAACATCACCTACACAAACTGTACACATATAGTCTACTTCTGATTTCGATTAGTTCTGTTCAAAAGCATTGAAAAGAATTGACTGTGGTAGATTACAGTCCTACTCTAGGTTGTCTGTTAGGTGTCAGCAGTTTGTCAACCAACTAATCGAAATAAAAATAAACTATTGTGAGCAGATGTATGCCCAATGGATATACTAGCGATGTTCAGTTCAGTCCACAATTGGAATCCCCTTCCCCTATATCCAACGTACCTGTGACCAGCCTGCCAGCCTGCCCATTATTTACCCTCGCGTGCAACGAGCCTTACGTCTGACTGATCTGGCTGATCAAGAGGCAATCAGTGCATTTACTGTGGTGATCCGAAGCACATTATTAAATGCTGCCCCAAATATAAAGATGTCCGGCGAGCTGCTGCAAAGGCAGCAAAAGGCACCCACCGGTAGGGGTCACAACTACCCTTGCCCCTAGACCACATGGAGAACAATGCGCGCACCATAGAGAAACCCCCAAGCCACACGTGTCTATGGTAGAGGTTGCTAGTCAATGCCTAGGTAGCTGTCGAAAGACTGCTTGCGTTTGAGTCTCTCGGGGCACTTCCCTCACAGGTCTAGCAAAAGAGTTGGAGAGGTTGCCAGACTGGGCCAAGATGAAGAAAGACGGCAAGGGACAACTAGTGTTAGATGTAGAAGTCTTTAGAGGTAGGGTAGGGGCCTTTATAGACAGTGCGGCCATGCGTAGTTATATAAGTCGTAAAGCGTTGCAAAAACTGAAGCTAAATTTGAAAGTCCAAAAGCTAGAAGAACCCACAGTCAGTATCCTCGCAAACAATCGCACTATGCGAATCGAGGATTACGTCGAGGGATGCATATTTTCGCCTAGAGAAAGATGGGAAGGTAAAGAGAGTCCTCCATTGCCCGACTCTCCTTGTAGAGGACAATCTCCCATTCGATATGGTCCAAGGAATGGAGTGGGAAGAGGCAACAAGAGCCACACTCCCCTTGAGAGAGCACGACTGTAGGCTCCCTAGCCCATCAGGTGAAGTCAAGAGTGCTCGCCTGTTTCATGTGTCAGGGGTAGACAACCCCTTAGCACATTGATGCCTCAACGCTCCTGCTGCCTCAACGCCTGTTTCCTGCTTTTGCAAGGCTATGGTGTTTAAGCCACCTACCGGAGTACTGCCGCGACCAATCCAGCATCGCATTGAGGTAGAGCCTGGCAGTAGGACTCCTAAGGGAGTTGTGTATAGAATGTCCCCAAGGGAGTTAGAGGAGGTGCGCAAACAGTTGGACGAGCTCCTCAAAAAAGGTTGGATTAGGCCCAGTTCGTCTCCGTTTGGAGCGCCCGTCCTATTGGTCCCCAAGGAGGAGGGAGAGTTAAGGATGTGCATTGACTATAGGGGTCTTAATGCCGTCACAGTGAAGAATGCAGAACCGCTGCCCGATATGGAGAGTTAAGTTATCACCAAATAGAAGTTCAGCCTGATGACCAATACAAAACAGTGTTTCAAACTAGATATGCGCACTATAAGTTCACAATGATGCCCTTTGGACTACCCAACGCGCCAACCATGTTTCAACGTTGTATGAACGATTTGTTTAGGCCGTCTTTAGATAGATTTGTGATTGTATACTTAGATGACATTCTAGTGTTTAGCAAGACCCTGCTGGAGCACGAAGCTCATCGGAGGCAGGTCTTGGAGAAGCTGGGAGAAGCTAACTTCAAGATCAACGCAAAGAAGTGCGAGTGGGCAAAAACACAGGTATTGTACTTGGCCCACATCCTAGATGGAGATGGCATAAAGCCTAATGACAGCAAGATAGCAACAATTAGAGACTGGCCAACTCCTCACGCATTGACAGAGTTGCGGTCGTTCTTAGGATTGGCAAATTACTATAGGAAGTTCTCTCCCATCGCTGCTCCCCTTCGCAGATTGCTAAAGAAAGGAGCGATCTGGAAGTGGGACCAAGACTGTACATCGGCCCTAAAAATATTGAAGCAGGCGTTGATAGAGTACCCAATCCTCAAGGTAGTCGATCTGTTCTTGCCTTTTGTTGTCATCATTGATGCAAGTCAGTACGGTGTAGGTGTTGTCCTACAGCAAGATGATGGCAATGGGCATATACCCGTAGAGTTCATGTCTGCTAGGATGCCTTCAGAGAAGCTAGCGACATCAACCTATGAGAGGGAACTCTACGCTCTCAGGCAAGCGCTAGACCACTGACAACATTACTTGCTTGGGAGGCACTTCAAAGTCCATTCAGACCACAAAACATTGAGGTGGTTGAAGACACAGGCCAAGATAACACCTACGCTTACCAGGTGGGCTCTCTTTTTTTTTTCCTTTTTTTTATGTTATTTTTAAGACTCGTCTTTTTCCTTATGCAACATGCATGCAAACGGGTGGCAATCACACTGGTCCCACGCGCCCACACAAAAGTCGAAGATATCGCGGCAAAGAACACAGTTCAGATTCAAACTTGCTTCCACTGCGCCATGGTGCCTGAGCACCCTCACTCTCCACACCCGATACTGTATCCTCAACAACTGTTTGCACACACGTCACTTTGGATCTCCTTGGATGTCCCACACACGTTCACACTCTTTACACACACTTCACACAGGTACACTACAACCTACTACTATTTGTGGCAGCTATTGTCGCCTCCTACTCCCTGCTACTAGCGGCTATGGCCGCTTCGTCTCCCTCCCTCCCTTGGGCACCTGCAAACCTTTTTGCACAAGTCGCTCAGGCAGCGCTTCCGCACGGCTCATAAGGTCGAATGAATGAATAACTAGACTATGCCTCTTGATTTATACTTCTGTTGGTCGCTGGTCTGCACCTTTCCGCCGAGCCTAGGGTGCACACAGTCCCGCATGGTACTTGCTGATTGGACAAAGTGCAATTGGGATTGGGTAGCGCTGACTAGGAGAGTTGGACTCTCCACTTGCCCACTTGCCTCGGACCTGACTGTGGTGACCCTCGAAAGGCCACTTCCGAACCTTTCGAAAGTCTGTAGACTTGGCCTTTCGGGACTGTAGCAGCTACGACCATGACCTTTCAAGACTGTAGCAGCTAGGACTTCTACACAACTACAACCCCTACTTGACAGACCTACGGTTCAAAACCCGACGACCACACCAACCTGCGACAGACAACAACAACTACCAAGACACAGGCCACGGGTTCAAACACAAAGGTGTCAACTTGGTACTGTACACAGGTGAGGGCAAGGACTAGGGACGGAGCCTTGGGATCTGCGTCCGCTACTGCAAAGGTGAAAACCGTTTCACTCCCGCCGGCCTAAATTGGAGGTCCTCCAGGAATATGTCAATGTATCGCAGGATCTTTACCTTTCTTAGCTCTTACATAGGCGTGGATTACATCTGGAGCAGTCTCTAGAAGCTTTGTTCGAGTAAACCAACGGTCGTCTTCCAGTTCGAGTCTACCTCCTATTCTAAAGACATCCTCACCTACTATGCGGTCAATGTCGTACCTTCCTTCCATATCTGGAGGGATCATGGACCGTCTTGATGGGAACTGTTGACTCGTAGTGTATGCACTGGCTACCTTTGGGAGCATCTCATCCCAGTTGACTTGATCAAGTCTAATACACATTCTGAGAACTTGTTGCTGGATCTTGTTGATCTATTCAGTCTAATCGTTAGCCTCTGGGTAACGGTCAGATGACAGTCGTAGACTGTCATCAGCTCCTGCCTGTTCCGACTAGTGACCTGGTATCTCTGTCATTAACCATGGACAGCGATAGACCATGCTCACTGACCCAATGATCAAAACACTTCCCCATTACAAAATTTGTACGTGCCTCTGAAGGCAAAGGAACGAAAACTGCATATTTGCTAAACCTATCAACTATAACCATGACTTGGTTTTTGCCATGCCTACTCTTGACCCCAACGTCCATGGAAACAATGGACAAAATCTCCGGGTCCTGTGGGAATAGGCAAGGGTTTGAGAAGACCAAGAGAGGCTCGCGTAGTGGTCTTGTTTCGTTGGCACACCTTACAACTGCGTATGTACTTTAGGCAGTCAGCCTTCCTGCCGGGCCACGTATACACGCTAACGAGATTGGCCAACGTCTTTTGCCAACCGAAGTGTCCCTGTGTGTCGTGGCATTCCCCTAAGATCAAACTATGGATCTCCTCACTGTTGGGAACGCATAATCGATCGGCTACGTTAGGCTTCTCAAATAACAACCCACTTGTCGTGTGGTAATCTGGTCCAGACTCAGGGGCCTCCTTAACACTCTTCAGGAGGTCACTATAAATAGGGTCCTGTGCATACGCCTCTTTGACCTTTTGCTGCAGGTCTATTCCTATGTCCAGATATTGTACTATCGCTCGACAGGTCTCACTTGTGTTTGCTGCACTTCGTGGAGGGAGGTTCGGAACATGGGCGAGGGAGGTTCGAAACAAGGGCGAGGGACGTTTGGAACATGGGAAAGGGAGGTTCGAAACATGGAGGAGGGACATTCGGATGAAGGCGGAGGGAGAATGTCTTTTGCCAACCGAAGTGTCCCTCTGTGTCGTGGCCTTCCCCTAAGATCAAACAATGGATCTCCTCACTGTTGGGAATGCATAATCGATTAGTCTTCTCAAATAACAACCCACTTGCAGTGTGGTAATCTCTCCTTAACTCTCTTTAGGAGGTCAGTGTAATTAGGGTCCTGTGCATACGTCTTTGACCTTTTGTTGCAGGTCTATTCCTATGTCCAAATAGTGTACTATCGCTCGACAGGTCACACTTGTGTTTGCTGCACTTCGTGGAGGGAGGTTCAGAACATGGGCGAGGGACGTTTGGAACATGGGAAAGGGAGGTTCGAAACATGGAGGCGGGACATTCGGATGAAGGCGGAGGGAGGCTCGTCAACAAGGGGGAGGGAGGTTGAGAAGAGAGGATGGGATTCGAAAGATAGGATGGGAATAATCGGGAGGGAGGTTCGAAACATGGGGAGGCGCCAGAAAGTTCGAAACAAGGGGAATGGAGGTTGTTTAACACCTTCCATCCCCCTTGTTTCGAACCTCCCCCCCCCCCCCCCGTTCCCAACGTTCGAACCTCCCTCCCCCTTGTTCAAAACCTCCCTCCCACTTCTTTCGAACCTCCCTCCAGCTTCTTATGAAACTCCCTCCCACTGCTTCCCACCCTCCCTCCCCCTTCTTCCGAGCCTCCCTCCAACTTCTTTCGAACCTCCCTCCCCCTTGTTGACAAACCTCCCTCGCCCATGTTCCAAACCTCCCTCCCCCTTCTTCCGAACCTCGCTCAACCTTCTCCCCGACCTTCCTCCCCATTCTTCCAAACCTCCCCCATGCTTCTTCTCAACCTATCTCCTCCATGCCCCGAATAATCCCAACAGCCGTAAAGAAGTATACAACGTGCTCAAAACTTTTCAAATGAATGAAAACAACCGATTGAGAAAGCGAAGGAATCAACGTAAAATCAACCAAGATTCTGAAAGCAAATGAATGAACATATCCGAAGTTCCAAAGAAATTCAAGTCCCAAAGGTGAGCAACAACATACTCTTACCCAAAAGTTCGCAAATGAATGAAAAGTTGAAAACGAACCAAGACTCTCTGCCCATACAACCAAGATGAAACGAGAACATTCAAAAGTAAAACAACAAAGCGAGTTAATGAAAGGGGGAGGTTCGAGAAAAGGGGGAACGAGGTTCGGGAAAGTAGGGGGAGGGAGGTTCGAAACAGGGGACGGAATGTGGTCTAAGTCCATGAACATCGATCGAAATCCCTGAAACTTCGATCGGAATCCCTCCCCTAATTCGAACCTCCCTCCCCCTTCTTTCGAACCTCCCTCCCCGATCTTTCGAACCTCCCTCCTTGAGAACCTCTCTCCCCCTTATTCTTTCGAGCCTGCTTTCCCCTTCTCTCAAACCTTCGTCCCGCTGTTTCGAACCTCCCTCCCATGTTCCAAAAATTTCAAAGTTCCAAACGTGAAGAAGTCCATGATGTCGTCAAAGCTTTGCAAAAGAATCACAAATATCCAAAACGAACCCACCAATCTCCGTCGTTCACAAAATCACAAAGGTATCAAAAGTATTCCAAGTTCGACTTTGAAATTCAAACCCTAAGACTCCTTCCCATTTTGAACCTTTGTCCCCTTGTTCCGAACCTCCCCCCTCTTCTTGTTCCAAACCTCCCCCCTCTTCTTGTTCCAAACCTCCCCCCTCTCGTTGTCCCAAACCTCCCCCCCTCTTGTTGTTTATGAATCTCCCCTTGTTACGAACCTCCCCCACCTCATGAAATAGGGCATTGCATGTTTCCATTTTCTAGCGGATGATTCACTCCCAATTCGTACTTCTAGAAAGCAGGCAGTGATGCCCGAAATACCATATGGAACCGTCACGTCAAAAGGAACGATGATGAGAGAGAGAGATGGCAATGCATCTTTCCATTTTCAACCTAATGATTCAGTCTCATTTCGTACATTTGGAGAGCAATGCATCAATGCCCAAAATACCGAATGGAGCCATTCCAATGACACGAGAGAAAGACAAAGAGGTTCAAAGGACTGACCTGACAGAGAAGCTTGCGGATGACCAGCATGTTGATGAAGCACCTTGAAGACGACCACCGCCACACAATGGAGGACCCTACAACCTCTCTCTCTCTCTCTCTCTCTCTCTGGAGCACCTTGCGCGCACGTCTTGCCATTGGCAACCTGACGATGCGCCAATCTCCGCAAATGACAAGGGCTCTCTCCTTCTTCGCACGCTCGTCCGCGTGTAGGTGTGTTGTACGGTGTTTCTGTGAATATGTCAGTCGGTCTCGAGCGAATGAAAACGACGACAAATGTCGAGGTTCCTCTGGGCAAAACACTTCCGCCCGCCAACAATCTCCAAAGATGGCAAGGAAGTGAAGTGAAAAAGGAGTCCTTCCGACCGTCCTGTGCGGCCGATACCGGCCCCAAAAATCCCCTAACATTTTTAGGGCGCACCCTTGACCCAATGAACAGGTCCAAGGTGGCCCCCTTTTTTTTCAAATTTCAAATTTCAGCCCTACCGGACAGGCCTCCTACGGTCTGGTGTCCAAACATCGGACCCCAAACCGACTGTATGGTCGTTCGGATGTCCGCATGATAGCCATGCTTCAAATGGTCAAGTATTCTCTCATGCATCCTAATCCTGAGAAGCCATTCATTCTGACCACAGGCGTAAGCCAATATGGCATTGGTGCAGTGCTGGCTCAGCAGGAAGGGAAGAAGTTGAGGCCGATCGAGTCCGTGAGTAAGAAGATACCATCTAAGAAGTTGGCAAGTCCACCCACGAAAGAGAACCTACCATCTACTTGGACAAGCCCTTGTCCACTGGAGACACTATCTGCTTGGTAGGTGCTTCTATTTGAAAACCTACCATCAAACACTCGAGTGGATCAAGACAACCCGTTCTCTCCAATGCACTCAAAAGTTGGATTGACGTCATAGATCAATATGACTTCAAGCTAGACTACGTGAAAGGAGAGTACAACAAGGTTGTTGATGCCCCATGGCTGCCGATGACCCGAACACCGAACCATCCGAACCCAAACAATCATCGGTCTGGATATGATCTAAACGTTCAGATTTCCCGATCAGTCCGAACTGTCCGCACATAGTCCGGATCCGTCCAGATGGTCCGGATGGTCATGTCCGGATCAGCCCGAATTGAAAAAAAAAGAAAAACTTGCACGTCTGTCATGCATGTTGAATGCGGTTTCACCATAAAACCTAGACTTAAGTGGAAGTGTTCCAGGAGGACATAGCTCTTGGCATATATGACAAACGTGAATGATCATTCCTTGAAATGCACTATGTTGGCACAGTCACTGCAAAGCACAAACTGCTGCAAGGGAAGAAAAAGTGAAGACAAAAAAAAGAGGACTCCGCAATAAACTTGAATAAAGGGAAAAATATTAAATGAAGTTCAAGACTTTAAAAGTTCAAAATTTAAGTTCAAAGTTAAAAGTTCAAACTCTCTCTCTCTCTCTCTCTCTCTCTCTCTCTCTCTCGCTCTCGCTGTGTGTGTGTGTGTGAGCAAGTGTGTGGCGGCGGTGGCGGGTGGGCGAGAAAGCACTCTGAAGTGCCTAGATCCGCCCTTTCTTCCCTTCGTCATTGGGGAACTGCGCTCTGCCTCCAACGGTCCGCCCAGGATGCAAGTAGAAAAGGGGCCGGTCTAACTACCCTGTACGGTCGATACCGGCCCCAAAAATCATCAAGACATTTTTTGAGGGCTGTCATGGACCCAAGAAGCAGCTCTAGGGTGCCTCCCTTCTTTTTAACTTTCGAGATTCCGGCCCCGTGCTATCCGCCGAAGCATGCGAGCTTCCATCATCAGAGTCGACATTGAGGAGATGGGGGTGTGTTTTCTCCACGCCCTCCCACCCCGAGACACTTCATCGACGGACTCATCTTCGGATCCACGCATCAACGAACTTCTCGACGCCTACAACGACGTGTTCGAAGGCCCGCACGRAGTAGTACCGGATCGGCCCATCCGCCACGAGATCATCCTCGAGGACGGGGCCGTACCTCCGTGCGGCTGCATCTACCGAATGAGCGAGGAAGAGTTAAGTGTGCTCCGTGCACAACTCGACGATCTTCTAGAGAAAGGCTTGATTCGGCCTAGCTCATCGCCATACGGTGCTCCTGTTCTCTTCGTCCGATAGAAGAACAAGGACCTGGGGTTGTGCATCGATTAGCGCAAGCTCAACGCGCAGACGATCAGGAATGCCGACCCTCTCCCACGCATCGACGATCTTCTCGAGCGACTGGGCGGCGCCAAATTCTTCTCCAAACTGGACCTCAAGTCGGGATATCACCAACTCGAGATTCGCAAGGAGGATCGCTACAAGACCGCGTTCAAGACATGGTATGGGCATTTCGAATGGTTGGTCATGCCGTTTGGCCTTACGAATGCCCCAGCCACTTTCCAAGCGGCTATGACAACGGAGTTCCGCCACATGCCGGATCCGTTTGTACTCATCTACCTCGACGACATCTTGGTGTACAGTCGGAGTTTGGACGAGCATGTGGAACACCTGCGCACCGTTTTGGAGCGGCTACGACAGGCCAAGTACAAAGCAAACCGCAACAAGTGCGAGTTCGCACAGCAGGAGCTGGAGTACTTGGGCCACTATGTGACGCCGAAAGGCATCCGTCTGCTCGCGAACAAGATCGAGGCCCTACGAGTGTGGCCCAAGCCCACCAACACCACGGACGTTCGCTCATTCATGGGGTTGGCGGGCTACTATCAACGATTCATCACCCGATACTCCAGGATTGTTGCACCTATGACGAGGTTACAGTCGTGCCATTCATATTCGATGACGACGCACGCCGGTCATTCCAAGCACTTAAGACAACTTTGCTTATGGCACCCGTCCTTAGCATGTATGACCCCAACTTGCCGACGAGAGTGACTACGGACGCTTCCGGCTATGGCACGCTGTGGAGTACTTCAGCCACAAAGTGCCTCCCATCAACTCGCTTGATGATGCAAGGAAGGAGTTACTCGCGTTTGTCATGGTTCTCAAGCGATGGCGACACTTCCTCCTTGGGCGTCGTAGGTTCACATGGGTTACGGACAACAATCCACTGACCTACTACAAGACGCAGGATACAGTGAGCAGCACGATCAGACGATGGATGTACTTCATCGACCAGTTTGACTTCACACCGAAACATCTTCTCAGCCTCTCCAATCCCGCAACGGATGCACTCTCGCGAAGACCTGATCTTTGCACTATGACTCGTCATGCCTTCGCGTTCAATGAGGAGCTTCAGCGACACTTCATCCGGGCATACCAGTCTGATCCGAACTTCGCCACCCTATATGCACAGCTATATTCGGATCATCCGCCGACCAGCCATTACCGCATTGTCGACGGGTACTTGCTCCTCCACTCGAGAGGCAAGGACTTACTATGTGTCCCAGGCGACCGTCATCTTCGGACTCGCCTCCTCGGCGAGTATCATGATTCACGACTCGCCGGCCATTTCGGGGTCAACCGCCCTATTGAACGGCTTCGACAGCGATTCCGATGGCCTGACCTCATTACCGATGTCACTCAGTATTGCGACTCATGCGAAGTTTGCCGACGCAGCAAACCCCGCAACCGCAATCCCTATGGCGAGTTACACCCGATGCCTATCCCACGGGAACCCAGTCTCTCCATTGCCATGGATGTCACCGGTCCATTCCCTCGCGACCGGCTCGGGCACGACGGCATCCTCACGGTGGTGGACCGATTGAGTAAGTACGCACGTTTTCTTCCTTGCAAGTACTACTCCACGGCTCTCGAGCTGGCACGCCTCCTGCACACTGGTTGGATTTGTGGACACGGTGTACCAGAAGACATTGTCAACGACCGCGACACTCGTTTCATGTCAGCATTTTGGACTGCTCTCATGCAGAGTCCGACACGACGATGAAACCAAGTTCGGCTCGGCATCCACAGACACATGGGCAGACGGAGCGAGCACATCAAACCGCTCAAATGCTTCGTACGCTCATCCGTTCGGACCAGAAAGATAGTGTTGACCGCCTCCCCGACATCGAGTTCGCCTACAACACTTCGGTGCACCCGGCGATCGGCGTGACTCCATTCGAGTTGCACCACGGTGGACGAAGAGGCCATATCTTCGGCGACCTTCTCCTCCCTCGACCAGCCGACATTGACGCCGCTTGCTCCCCCGCTTCCGTTCAGAAGTACAGGGACTTGCTGACTCAAGCCCGCGCGAATATGCAAAAGGCTCAAGTCCGCATGCTGCATCCAGCCAACAGGCGTCGCGTGCCATGTCCTATCCGCGCCGGTGATCTGGTTTGGGTCTCCGCAGGAGAGTTTGCACTGGAACAGGATGTTTCACGCAAACTACTTCCCAAGTGGTTTGGACCATGGTCTGTGACAGCAGCCGCGAGCGATGAGCCCGGTGGCCTTTCATTTGTGATCAACATTCCAGAGCATCTGACGGTCCATCCAGTCTTTCATGCCTCGAAGATGGGAACTTACACGCCAGCCAAGAACGACGACTTTCCGGGCCGACGATCGCAGGACACTCCTATGGATGGTCATCAGGAAGTTGACCGCGTCATCACCGATCGCAAGTACGGCAGCAAGCCGCGGCAGTACAAAGTCACATTCAAAGCGTGCGATCGCGACGACACTCGGTGGATTTCAGGAGCAGATTTGAAAGCATCTGCACCCCTGATCTACGCACATTATGAAAAGCGAAGGTTAGCTCAGGACGCTTCACGACCAGCCCCTCCCACCCGGACTGTGGTCCCTCCCTCAAACAGACAGCTTCGCCCTTGCAGGTAAGCTCGGTCTTTCAAGGAGGGGGGGGTGTGGCATACTGCGTAGCCACACGGGCCCTGCAGGGGTCGTCCCGAACATTCAGCCTAAAAGCCTAAAACTTAGGGCAACTTCTTGAAGGTGGGGCGGTGGAGAGGGTCATCCGTTAACTGCTCACGAGGGCCCGCATCAATTTTTCGAGGAGGGCTTTGCGGTCCCTCGCGTGCTGGATATAGAACTTTTTGGATCTTTCCCTCATCAGAGCCACTCTGTTGCATACTGTAACATGCAGACCAGAACAAGAACCGACTTCTCAATGCGAAGTACAAGATGGCGCAAACGGAAGACTTAGATACCAATGATCCGATCAATCAATGTTGAAATGCAGCCTAGAACATACATCATCGTCATCATCCCAGAGTGTGAAAGGGGTCTGGCGCTTCACACAGGAAGACTGCACCAGCCCCACACATGCACAGACGAAGATGTGGGGGGTTAGACGAAGAGGAGGGAAAGATGGGAATGTCGTCAACACCCAGTCTTCGGCTCAGGCCCAAATAGTCCCTCGTCAAAATGTCTGAATCCCAAATGTCGAATCTTTATCCAATGTCGTCAAGTCTCAAGTCATATCTCTCTCTCGTAGTCCACAGATACTGAGAAGTAGGCAGCAAGAGGGGAAGAAGAGATGGTGGACTTAGAAGAGGAAGGACTCTCTCTCTCTCTCTCAGTCCAGTACTAACCTGTGAAGTTGGCGCCTTGATGCAGGTACCACGAAGATGGAGCTGGAGCGATGGCGCCTCAGGTAAGTACCACTGGCCTCCGCCAATCACCTCTCTCCCATATCACTACTACCACTATTGCTATAGCGCCCAGCGCTGAAGACTACACTAGCGCTAAAGCTGCCCTAGGCAGCGCTCCTCCTGAGTGCTGCTCCGCTATCTTGAAGACTACCCTGACTACTGTCCAACTACCTACCCGTGAAGTGCCTGGGAAGGTCCTATGTACTACCACGGGTGCCTCCTGACTGCAGGCGAGCAGTCCAGGAGGCTGCTCTTGCCAATGTCGATCGGAGGAAGGGGCTGCCGCTGCAGCTCCTGCTCAAGCTCATGAGGAACAGGCTATTTCTGGCCTGTTCGGCATCCCTGTTTACGTGCTTGAGTCTTAGGGGCGGTCGAAACACTGAGGGCCTGAAAAAGGCCCTCCGTTTCAGGCTGGAAAAACTCTGGGTCTGAAAGACCCAAAAATAGGCTGAAACTGAGTAAGGGCCTGCAGGCCCTCGTTTTTCAGCTTTCAGGCTGAAACGACCAGAAGACTACCTCGAACCGCAGTCACAGGATTGGATATCCAAGCCAGGATGAGACGAGCGCACAGGGATGGGACAATGTCCAAGTCTTTTCTTAACAAAGCAAGAGCCAATACTGTCCCAACACTCAAGCATCCCTTGGATGGCGCAGCCGAGGTTGCAACTAATGCATACACCATAACAAACTACGCCGCCCAGTACTACCGGCACTTGTTCACTTCCCGAACTCTAACCAAGCCTCCTGATAAAGTCCAACGCGCACGAGAAAAACTATTAATAGCTGTCCACGCTCGCCTCACACGACCAAAGGAAGAGCTAGACACCCCCTTACCCAACAAGACATCTCGGAAGCACTACAGGACATGGAAGATGAGAAAGTCAGGGATTGACTCCTTTCCGAAAGAGTTTTGGGCACAATTATGGGATCTGCTAAAGGATGACCTGATGGACTACATAGTGCCCGTCCAGCAACGAGCTACCTTTGGGGGCATGATCGTGCAGGCGGTGACAACACTCCTATATAAAAAAGGGGACAGAGAAAACATCAAACATTATAGACCCATAACCCTCCTCCCCGTGCCCTATAAGTTCATGGCCAAGGCGCTGACCCAAAGACTGCTATGTAATGACCCACCAAAAACACAGATTGAGAACACTGCTGATTTCTGGGATTTGCCGCTGGAATGAATGCCTTGCTGAGATTCCCGCATTCTGTTGTGACTTCCATGTCTGTGTGTGTGCGTGCCTGCTGGTTTCCATGCCTGTCCAAGTGCTTGTCGACTGAGTGTGTGCGTGACCCGCAAGGGCCGGTACTTACCTGTGGTCGTGACTTTGAGGGTTGCAGCGGGGAAAACACTCGAGTAGCGCGGGTCGGCCCGCAACACCTAGAGCAGAGGGGAAAAACACTCAAGTTGGCATTTTTTAGAGGCCCAATAGCGGTAGGCTAGAGGTAGGCCGATACCAATCCAAGTAGCCCGGGTCTAGGGCCTCTCCGGAGGATAGCAAAACCTTCAATGATGTTTCCCTCCGAAAGGGAGGAGGTACCGGTTGCTGGGAGGTCGCTCGGCCTAGGAAGTCACCGCCCAAGAGGCAAGTAGGCCGCTATATCTTCCGGAGGAGCAAGTAGCTCCTCCTCACTTGCGGTATGCAAGGATTGGCGACATGCTGTTGAGCGGAGCGCTGTGCTGGTACAGCGTTGCCTAGGTGAAGGGCAGCTGGGCGCTCAACCTAGCTATGGCGAGCAGTCCAGCCTGAGGAGGAGGAAGAAGGAGGCGAAGGAGGAGAGTGGCGAGGCACCTACCTGGCTATGGTTAGCACCATCTTCAACACCTTGTTGGGCGCTGCATCTGGAAGGCCCCAGTTGGGGTATTGCCGCACCAAGGTAGCTCGAGGCAGAGTCAAGCATGGCGGTTCAGTCAGCAACGGCACAGCTGCTTTGGGTTGTCCTTTGGACAGGAGAGCAGCGCCATAGCTGCTTTGCGTTGTCCTTTGGACAGGAGGGTAGGGCCCTCAGTAGTCTGCCATAACCTTGGCATGTGAGAACAGGAAGGAGGAGGGAAGCCATAAGCTATGGTGTACTTTTGTTGTTGTTGGGAACTTCGGATATTGATTCTGGTTCATCCACTCATTGTTATTATTATTATTGGGAAGAAGAATAAGATTGGAGAGCTTGAGGAGGAAGGTGGAGAGAGAAGGGGTGGATTTGTCATTGGTCTTGTTAGTGTACATCTTCTTCTTCTTTTTCTTTCCCTCTTCTCTTTGCAAGTGCTTTCATTTCTTTCGCAGTTGGGTGGCATTGTCTTTCATTGTGAATTTGCATTTTGGGAATGACCAGGATCGTAACAGCTACCTCACATGAATGTACTCGTACATCCTGACCAGACAGGCTTTATGCCCAATCCCAACATCCATGACAATATCCTGTTAGTTATTGAAAAACTATCAAATACGCCAGGCATTGAAAGGTTCAAGCGGCCATCGTGTTCATAGACTTTGAGAAGGCGTATGACCACGTTGACTGGGATTTCTTGCATATGTGCCTGCTCAAGATGTTTCAATCCAACCTTTTGTCAGCGAGTACAGCTCCTCCACAGGACGGCCACCGATAACATCATGCTCAATGGCCACCTCTCGTCCCCAATACACCTGAAACGGTCGGTGCCCCAGGGTGATCCCATAGCACCCTTACTGTTTGTGATCGTGATGGAAGCCCTCGCCTCGATGATCAGATCCCACAACATCAGCGAAGTGCCCATTTCAAAAATCGTTGATCATCTCATCCCGATGACGTCACTGTTTGCAAATGACCTCAGTTCTGATCAAAGCGAACGAGGACAGCATAAGGGCCCTTACTCATGTCATACACATTTTCCCGTTGGCGGCAAACATGAAGGTCAATTAGGGCCCCAAGACCAAAGGCTTGTGCCTCCACCTTTTAGGGAAACCGCCACCGCATGAGCCGGCTGTGGCATGGGCACACAACGAAGAAGCAATCAGAATACTGGGGGTGAGGTTAACGTCACTTGTTCCCACGCCTGACCATGGGGACACACTTGTCAACATGGCAATGGACCGACTGGGTAAATGGGAGGGTCTGCACACCTTGACAGTAGGAAGGGCCCTTACAATAAATAATGATGTCATGGCGCCCATTTGGTACAAACTCGTTGTCTGGACACTAAACAAACAACAATATGCCAGACTGAGGAGAGCGCTCACCACATACCTTTGGAAAAACAGTGCCAAGACCGAAAGATGTGTGCAACGTGTGAGCTGGGATACCCTCACGCAGCCGAGAGTCAATGGAGGCCTAGGAATATTGAACCCTGAGAGAGAGAGTGAGGCATTGGTTTTCAAAATCCTCATTAGGCTACAGATAGGTAATGACATCCCATGGGCACAGTTGGCCTGCCTACAGATTCCCACTTTGGCCCGGAAATCATCAGCAGCCAACACACTCCATCCACTCGGATGGCTAATTAATAAACATTGGACAATACCCTCCCCCACAAAACAAAGGCAGGGGATCGACTCGAGGCAAGCAGCCACGCACGACCTGCTCTTGGATCCTCTCTGGTCCTACATGCTCAACCTCTGGAGGAGACGTGAGCCGCATGTGGGGGATAAGATGCAAAAGCTGAAGGAGGCCCTGCCCCTGGCCTGGTGGCTCCCTCTTGAATCTGGCCCAAAGGTCCAGCCAGACGACTGTGTCATTAAACATGCAGAGCTCCCAAGGTTGCTGACCATATATAGAGTCCACAAAAATGACAATGGCAGGTGCTCACTGGAAGCATACATCCCCCACAAGCCAAGGGCTATATTTTCCAAACTCAAGACAAATGACAACCTGGACGGGGCTGAAAATTGGGGGGGACCGATGTCAAGGTGTCGTACATGAGTACTGTATGAATGATTGTCAAATTTGTGTTTACCTGTCTTCATGATCGAATGAGTGTGTGTTACTCAGAGAATGATATAGTCCATTTTTTATTTAACTTCAAAAACGACCCTGGTAGTCCATGCCGTAAACAATGTGTTGGTCCTTGGTCTACGCCCGATGGTTTTGGGGGGCGATTCCATGAGGGACCTAGCTAACGAGTTAAACACTTCGCCTGGGGAGTACGGTCGCAACGCTGAAACTCAAGAATTGACGGGGGCTGCACAAGCGGTGGAGCATGTGGTTTAATTCGATACAACGCGCAAAACCTTACCAGCCCTTGACAAATGAAAGAAACTCCTTGTAAGAGATGTGCTGTAACTTCACACAGGCGTTGCATGGTTGTCGTCAGCTCATGTCGTGAGATGTTGGGTTAAGTCCTATAACGAGCACAACCCTCGTTTTGTGTTGCTAAGACATCGCAATGATGTGTTGCACTCACAAAAAACTGCCAGTGATATATTGGAGGAAGGTGGGGATGACTTCAAGTTTGCATAATGGCAATGACAATACGAAGCAAGGCTTTAAGGCGGAGCGAATCCTAAAACATTGCCGCAGTTCGGATTGTTCTCTGCAACTCAAGAACATGAAGTTGGAATCGCTAATAATCGCGGATCAGCATGACGCGGTGCCTAAAAGATGCATCATCAATCAATGGATGATGGATTTGCAAAGGGATCACAAGTCTTTCCAACTTGAGTAATGAATAACCTCATGCATGATGGATGACTCCATTCAGGAAGTCGCCCGATATCATACAGTTTGCACATCCGTTATGTTGAAACGGTATTCACCAGTTCGCAGTAGCGAATGCAGATCCCAGGGCTCGATCCCTAGTTCCCCGTCTTACCTGTGTATAGTATCAGTGTCAACCCGTAGACCAATCAATGGATGATGGATTTGCAAAGGGATCACAAGTCTTTCCAACTTGAGTAATGAATAACCTCATGCATGATGGATGACTCCATTCAGGAAGTCGCCCGATATCATACAGTTTGCACATCTATTATGTTGAAAACGGTATTCACCAATTCGCAGTAGCGAATGCAGATCCCAGGGCTCG